AAAAAAAAAAAAAAATTGTATTCCAGGCCTGGTGCAGTGACTCTCGCCCATAATCTCAGCACTTTGGGAGAGTGAAGCAGGAGGATCACTTGAGCCCAGGAGTTTGAGACCACGCTGAGCAACACAGCAAGACCCAGTCTCTAAAAATAAAAAAATAATTAGCCCGATGTGGTGGCATGCACCTATAGTTCCACCTACTCAAGAGACTGATTCGGGAGGACTGCTTGAGCCCAGGGGGTCAAAGGGGCAGTGACCTGTGATTACGCCACTACACTTCACTCTGGGCGACCCTGGATGACAGCAAGACCTTCTCTCTAATATTAAAAAAACACGTTGGGCACAGTGGCTCACGCCTGTAATCCCAGCACTTTGGGAGGCCAAGGCAGGTGGATCACAAAGTCGGAGTTCAAGACCAGCCTGGCCGAGATGATGAAACCCCATCTCTATTAAAAATACAAAAAAATTAGCCGGGCATGGTGGCTGACACCTGCAATCCCAACTGCTTGAACCCGGGAGTCAGAGGATGCCGTGAGCTGAGATCGCACCACAGCACTCCAGCCTGGGCAACAGAGCAAGACTCTGTCTCAAAAAAGAAAAAAAAGTAGACAAGGAAAGAACAAGAACTTAAATTTCCATTATTGTATGCTACATAACTTTAAAAAAAAAAAAACTGAAGCGAAAACAATATTGTGGTACACAAATATTCATAATATTACTCTGTCCTCTTCTATAGTTTTGAAACCTTAAAAGCCACCCTCTAACATCTTTCAAAATAAATTCTAAGTATGTTGAGTAAAAAAAGTCAATCCCAAAAAGTTACATACTGTATGATGCCATTTACATAACTTTTTTCTTTTTTTTTTTAAGATGGAATTTCACTCTTGTCGCCCAGGCTGGAGGGCAGTGGTACGATCTTGCTCACGGCAACCTCTGCCTCCCGGTTTCAAGTGATTCTCCTGCCTCAGCCTCCCAAGTAACGGGGATTACAGGAATGTGCCACCACGCCCAGCTAATTTCTGTATTTTTGGTAGACATGGGATTTCACCATCTTGGCCAGGCTGGTCTCGAACTCATGACCTCAGGTGATCCGCCTCTACAAAAATTCCAAAAATTAACCAGGCATAGTGGTGCATTCCCACACTCCCAGCTAAGCAGGAGGCTGAGGTGGGAGGGTCACTTGAGCCCAGGAGGTCGAGGCTGCAGCGAGTCATGATCGTGCCACTGAACTCCAGCCCAGGTGACAGAGTGAGACCCTACTTAAAAAAAAGCAACAAAAAAAGTGATAAAACCCTCAATGTGGAAACCAGGAAAAGTCACCCAAAGGGCAGAAAAGAAGCTTTAAGACTACTGAACACCCCACCTGCTACTGGGATTACAAAAGACGCCAGAGGTGCCAAAACACCACAGAAATCAGTGCTGCCAGGGTCCTGCACACCCACCCAATGGCCACCAAGCCTGGCTAATTTTTGCATTTTTAGTAGAGACAGGGTTCCACCACGTTGGCCAAGCTGGTCTCGAATTTCTGACCTCAAGTGATCCACCCACATTGCCCTCTCAAAGTGCTGGGATTACACGCATGAACCACCACATCTGGTTCGGCCCTGGATATTTTCTTTTTTTTTTTTTTTTGAGACGGAATCTCGCTCTGTCGTCGCCCAGGCTGGAGTGCAGTGGTGTGATCTCCACTCACTGCAACCTCTCCCCTCCCAGGCGCAAGAGATCCTCCTCCCTCAGCATCCCCAGTAGCTGGGATTATAGGCGCCTGCCACCACATCTGGTTGTTGTTATTTTTATTTTTATTTTTGAGATGGAGGCTCACTCTGTGACCCCGGCTGGAGTGCAGTGGCATGATCTCCCGTCACTGCAAGCTCTGCCTCCCGGGTTCACACCATTCTCTTGCCTCAGCCTCCT